TTTATAGCATCAGTTAGGTCAGGTATTTCTATATTTAGTTTTTGTCTGCATGACTGACATGTCCCTTGGGGAGAGTAGGGTATTGAAGTCCCCCACTATCATTGTCAATATGTGATTAAAGATGTAATAACATTTCTTTTACAAACTTGAGTCCTCTTGTGTTTGGGGCACGGTTGTTAAGAACTGAAATGTCATATTGGCGGACTTTTCCTTTGATAAGTATGTAGTGTCCTTCCATGTCTCTTTTGATTAGTTTTAGTTTGAAATCTATTTTGTTGGATATTAAAATGGTTACCCAGATTGTTAGTTAGGACCATTTGTTTGATATATCTTTTTCCAACTCTTTAATCTGAGGTAAAGTCTGTCTTTGATGGTGAGGTGTGTTTCTTGGATACAACAGAGGAATGGATCCTGTTTTTACATCCATTTTGTTAGTTTGTGTATTATTATTAAATGAGATTGTTGATATAGACAAATATCAATGACCAATGATTGTTGATTCCTGTTATTTTATTGTTGTTGTTGATTGTGGTGGTGGTGGTGTGTGTGTGTTTCCCTTATTTTGATTTTGCTGGCCTTAAGAGTATTTGGTCCCTGTGTTTTCGTGGTTGTAATTAATGGCCTTAAAATTTTCCTTCTACAACCATCTTTAGGGCTGTATTTGCAGATAGATACTGTTTAAATCTGGCGTTATCATGGAATATCTTGTTTCTCTACCCATGGTGATTGAAAGTTTTGCTGGGTATAGAAGTCTGGGCTGGCATTTGTAGTCTCTTAGCATTTGCAGCACATCTGTTCGGGCCCTTCTGATGTTTAGAGTCTCCACTGAGAAGTTAGGTTCAGTGATTCTAATAGCTTTTCCCTCATATGTTACTTGTCTTTTCCACTTGTAACTTCTAACATAGTTATTTGTTTTATACAATTAGTGTTTTGATTATTGTGCATTGAGGAGACTTTCTTCTCTGGTTCAATTTATTTGGTGTTCTATATGCTTCTTGCACTATAATAGGTGTATCATTCTTTAGGTTAGGAACATTGTCTTCTAGGATTTTGTTGAAAAATATTTTCTGGGCCTTTGATCTGGGGATTTTTCTCTCCTCTATTCCTGTTACTCTTAGGTTTGGTCTTTTCACAGGGTCCCAGATTCCTGATGTTTTGTGTTAGGAATTTTTTAGTTTTAAGATTTTCGTTTGACCAATGTATTTATTTCTTCTAGAGTATCACTAATACCTGAGATTCAGTCTTACATTTTTTTGTATTCTCTTGGTTCTCTCTCTAGTTCCTATTCTAATTTCTAATTTTTCATTACCAGAATTCCCTCAGTTTGTGTTTCCTTTTTCTTTTCTTTTTCAGATAGGGTTCTCTGTATAGAGCTTTGGGGCCTGTCCTGGAACTCTCTCTGTAGACCAGGCTGGCCTCCAACTCACAGAGATCCACCTGTCTCTACCTCCCAAGTGCTGAGATTAAAGGCGTGTGCCACCACAGCCTGGGTTGTGCTTTCTTTATTATTTCTATTTTCATGTCTTGAACTTTTTTATTTGTTTTCTCCAACTTTTTGTTTATGTTTTCTTGGCTTTCCTTAAGGGTTTTATTCATTTCCTCCAATCTTTTGTGTTTTTCTGGATTTCTTTAAGTTATTTAATCATTTTCTCTTTAAGGACTTCTATCTTCTTCACATATTTGGTTTTAAGGTCTTTTTCTTGTGCTTCAGCTATGTTAGAATATTCAGGGCCTACTGTGGTGGATAACTGGGCTCTAGTGGAGATATATTACTCTGGCTGTTATTGATTATGTTCTTACTGCAGCATCTAGGTTTGGGGTGATTAAAGGTCTAGTTTCTGATTTCTGGATTTGTCTTTTGGGTCAGTGTTTTGTTCCTTGATTTCTGTGTCCTCTATGGATTTTCAGGATGTGTGGTGGCTGTGATTGCCTGTTTTACTCACCTGCTCAACTGGCGTATTCACAGGGAATGCCTGCTGGTATTAGAGCCTGGGATGAGTGGGAGGAAGGATGTTAAGAAGGGATGATCTGTGTGGACCACAGGAGATGTGGGCAGAGGGAAAGGGAATCTACAGCTGGTAATTTGTTGCAGCACCAGGGATGAGACCAAGGGATTGGGTCTTGGAGAACATAGAGATAGAAGGTCTGTGGGCATGCTACCTAGTTTTCCGGTAGATGTCTTACCATAGATCTTAAGCATGGGGTCACTAAAAATAGAGGTGCACAGGAAAAGAATTAGACACTGGGGTACAAGTATGTGCTTCTCCAGGGAGCTGCTCCACTGCTACAGCTGTATCTTTGGGATCCTTGTGACCGAACGCAATTCTGTGACTCCCTTAACACCTGAAATCACATCACATAGGACACATTGGCTTGTGGGTGATTTCTAATGAGATTCCGATCCAGATCAATTCACCCTGATATATTAGGTGAGAACACACAGCAGCTGTTTTGTTTGTCATTATTGCTCTGGTCATACCGAGTAGAGTGAGTGGCTCTTTGGAAGTTCATGTGTCCTTTGTGCCCTTACCATCCTCAGATGATCTGGAAGTATAGATTAGCTGGGTTCTTCAATTCTTCCACACTTCTTTATTTTCCCTAAGTTTATAGATAAACTTGGGCATATACATGCATACTTTGCCCGTATAGATAGAAAAAAGGAGTCTATTTTCCATGAGGTAAAAACAGAAGGATTAAGATGCACAACTCTAAGGAAACTTATTAAATGCTACGTAGTTAGAGTGATGACCGAGTGCCTGTAGTATTAGATTAAGTTATTTAACTTTCAAGCCATCACAGAAGGCAGTGTCAATATTTTTAGTGTCAGCAGGGGAAAAAATCTAACACTTTTGTAAATATCATTAATTTTCCTTTTTAATTGAGCAGATTGGATCAGCATTGGGACATCCACAGACCACCCTTAGGATAACCACACTGTAAACACATCCCTCCCCTGCGTGAAGAGTGGGATTCACATGTCTACCCTCCTGGAAGCGTGGGGGGCTGGCTTTAAAACTATGGGCCCCATTCCAGGCAAGATCTACATCTGTATAAACCATTCACAAGAAGCTGCTCCTAGAATCAGGGAGGGACAGGGAAATGCAGGACAGATTGTCATCAATGAAGAGAGAGGTCGCTTCAGCACCCAGCTGCATGTGGACTCCTTGTCTGAGCCTGGATCGAAGCAAATCAATTAAATAATATTTTGGAGATAGAGAATTTGGTTACGGTCTAACATGAGGAATAGAAAATCATCGACAATTTTCTTTGTTTTGAGTGGCAGTGGTAACCATGGCTACACAGAAGGATTTCCTCTTTTTGGAAGTAGATCTACATTGCAGTCTGAGATGGTGGTGAAACACATTTATGATTATTTAAAAATTACTTTAGCAAATAAAAGACAAAAGATACAAGGAATAAAAAGTGTTTTGATACTCCATTTTGTCAAAACAAGGAAAGTCAGCTCAGTGGTTCACAGTGACTTCTGTGTGACCCTGACAATCCAAGTGGAATCCCTGGAGCCTACAGTGGAGGAGAGAACCAACTCCTGGAAGTGTCCTCTGACCTCTGCACACAGAGCTCCTTAGGCCTGCTCCTCCATCTCTGTCTGACACTCCCTCCCCTTCTCTTCTGTTTCTGTTCCCCTGAATCTCTCTCTTTCGGCTCTGCTCTCTCTCTCTCTCTCTCTCTCTCTCTCTCTCTCTCTCTCTCAAACACACACACACACACACACACACTTAATAAGAAGGGGTAAGATTATAGTTCGCTTTTTTTTGATGTTTCCGGAGACTTGAGGAAAGTAGGGGTCTAAAGGGTTGCAATACATGGGAAATGGGGTGGGAACAAGGTTCCTAATGTAAGTTTTTCATATTCGTGTAACTTTTTACCCATTTGAACATGTAGCTGGCCTGGATGTTCTTTGTCCTTCAGTTGTTCACATATTTGAAAAATGATGAGGACTTCAAGAGATGAAGCCAAGGGGAGATTGAATGGGTCTCAGGGAGGACACCATACTTAGAGGGACGGAAAGTAGTTGTTACAGACAAGTCAAAATCGGAATGATTTGGGGGCTTTGTATACATTGCTGCCACAACTTATTCAGCATTGTTAACAGAGGCCATTCTGTGTAGCCCAGGCTGGCCTCCTACTTGGTGATCCTTCTAACTCAGCCTCCTGAGACTGGAATTATAAAAGCATGTAGCCCTTCTAATCGTGTCTTGATCATTTCCTTGTCTCAATACCATTATACACATGGAAAGTCAGATACAATAAGCTTATAGATTACATTCTAAAGTGTATTAGACCGAGGATTAGAACTGGGCTCTCGATTGGCATGGAAGTAATTTATACATGTAAAGATAAGAAATATGACATTCACTGCTTGCTTATTTATTTATTTATTTATTTAGCCAGACAGGTTGTCTCTGTGTAGGCACTCCTGGAACTCCAGCTCTGTAGACCAGGCTGGCCTTAAACTCTGAGATCGGCCTGCCTCTCTCTGCCTCCCAGCAGCTGGGATTAAAGGTGTGCACCACATGTCCGGCTTCATTGCTTCAGCTCCCACTCCAGGTGCATCAAGGACAGCAGTCACAGGCTTGATTGATGGAGAGGGACCTGACAGCATGAATACATGAGTGACATGTTTATATTTTTTGTTCCTTAGTAACCAGCTGGGTTTATACATGGACCGTCTCAGGCTATTTCCTGAGATATTAGAAGACTCTTGCCATGACCAATACTTTTCTTTCCCTGAAATACTCTTTTGTTTTTGTTGATTTCATGTGATAAACGTCAGAGTGCCAGCAGGCTCTGTCTACTGTGACATGACGCAGAACAGGAACGTTCTCAGATGTGACTAGCTGTACTAACACGAGAACTTCACGTGGTCAGACACCCTGGGAAGTAGGTTGACCCTCAGTGGGTGTGGTCACCCTGGGAAGTAGGTTGACCCTCAGTGGGTGTGGTCAGCCCTCATAATTCTGGGGTGGACAGAAGTTAGAGGAAGCACCATTTTAACTGGAGACCTAAAGCTGTGCCTACACTAAGCTGGCCTTTGCTTTTCCCTGCCAAGTACTAATGTTTTCACATCTTATTTTCAACGGTGTCCTGCTGCTGTTGCTATTGCTACTTGCAAGTAAGTCTGGGCCGGTACTTTTCAGATGGAGAAAGATTATCACATAGAGGGCAAGACAGAGATAGAGGATGGGTGTAGTGAAGCTATTTCTAATAGTATATGTTGGGAAGTAACCTAAATGTCAACAGTGGAGACCTGGCAAATAAATTAGGTCTATCCATGATAGAAGCAAGGAGCCTAAATCAACAACCTGATACAGATGCTGGGAATCACAATGCTACAGAGAGAACCAAGGTGCCCAGTTATGTGTGTAAGCATTGCCAGGAGGCAGCAATGTGTGGATGCTTTTTAATGGTTGAGCTCCAGGGGGATGGGAAGAGTTGGGAGAGGTGGTCCTGCTTTCAAGTATCTTTTCTGTGGTTTGAATACTTTATTATATAGGTGTGTGTGTATATATGTGTGTTGTTATAAAGGAATTTAAACTTCAGTACAACATTTGAAGAGTTTCAAATATGCAAGCTACTAGTTTTGTTTTGTCAGAACTTTTATCTCAGAGAGAGAGACAGAGAGAGAGAGATATTGAGAATTATTAGGTTACCTTTCCTTTGCTAATGAACACACAGCCAGCCCAGACAGGTGGGCCACTTTCCTGGCCAACAATTTTTGTTTTTCATTAACCCAGGTTTTTTAATCTTTAAGAAACTGTTCACAGATCTCTTTGAGGACTGAAAAGTATGCGTTTGTGACAGGGTGGGGGTGGGGATCAAGGGCCCCCAACACATGGGAACTGAGAGACATGCAGATTCTCATGTTCCTTCTCAGGCCAGTGGAGGCAGTCATTTTAGGGAATGAGCAGAGGTTGCCCATGCTGGCCTCAAACTCACTGCAGTTCTGCCACAGAATCCTCAGTACAGGGATTAAGGCAGTCATCACTTTCTGGACTGTTAATTTATTTTTTGAAAGATGATTTCATTATGCAGGCTAGTTTGGGATCTTCCTGTTTCCACCTGCCAAGCTCCAGGTTTAGAGGCATGGGCAATCATAGTAAGTGTCTGAACAGGACTCGCTGCTTCCTCTGGTGACAGAGAATCATTGGCACCGTCAATCCTCCTCCCAACAGGAAAGCCAGAGTTCCCTCTTTAATTCTATGATGCATTACCAACAGAAATGGACCCACTCCCTCACTGTCTCGCCCTCCTCTCCTCTCTGTGTAGGGTCTTTGGAAAATGCAGTTATAGTCGAGGTCGGTAAGAATGCGTATCTGCCCTGCGACTACAGTCTAGCTGCCTATGGGACGCCTGTGCCTGTGTGCTGGGGCAAGGGACCCTGTTCTTGGTCACATTGTGGTGCCAATAAAGTGCTCAGCACTGATGAAAGAAATGTGACATATCAGAAATCCAGAAGATACCAGCTAAAGGGGAATTTCCTCAAAGGAGATGTGTCCCTGACCATAGAGAATGTGACTCTAGCTGACCGTGGGACCTACTGCTGCCGGGTAGAATTCACTGGTCCAGGGAATGATAAAAAAGTAAACCTGGAATTAGACATCAGACCAGGTGAGTAGACCCTTCCCATGTCCTCTTTGTCTATAAGAATCACCCTTGGGTAATGATATCATAATACACATATGGATTATTATCACCTCTAGTTACAGTCCTGGGGGTGGGATGGGAATTCCCAGGATGAAGAGGCCTCACTGTGAAGGCCAATGATGTACCTACCATGTGTTTTCATACTCAAGGATGCAGCCTAGAGAAGGGGACAAAAGACTTAGACCAGAGAGAGGTTCAAGACCCTGCGTGATCATTAGGTAACTGGAAACTTCTTTTCTTTAAATCAATTTTTGCTTTAATTTTTTCGTACTATACTCTTGATCATACTCTTTCCCCTCCTCCAACTCTCACCAGATTATCCCCACCTTCCTACCCACACAACTTCATTTTCGTTCTTTCTCTTAGACACCCCCCCCCCCCCAACAATGCAAAACCAAACACCCGGCCAAAAGTCAAACAGATGAGTAAAACCAAAACATGAAAAATATCAAACCAAAAAAGTGCCCAAAGTCAAATGGAGTCTGCGTTGCCAGGGGGCCTGCTCTTGGGTGTGGCTGGTATCCCCAGTGACACTCCCTTGGAGGACGCTGGACTTGCCTTGTCCCAGCTTTTGTCAATGCGAATAACTTCTTAGGAGTGGGGATAAATGTCCACTTCCCCATCTCTGTAGTAGGAGCTGCAGGCTGTGTTCCTGCCGCCCGGCTCCTGGCCGTCTGGCTACCTTATGCCCCGAAATAACAACACACAAACTGTATTCTTTTAAACACTGCCTGGCCCATTATATCGAGCCTCTTCTAGGCTAATTCTCATGTATCAATTTAGCCCATTTCTAATAATCTGCGTAGCACCACTAGATGCGCTTACCGGGAAAGATTCAACATGTCTGACCTGGCAGCTGGCTGTATCACGTCTGGCTCTGAGAGGAGCTGCATGATTTCTGAGCTCACTTCCTCTTCCTCCCAGCATTCTATTCTGTTTACTCCGCCTATCTAAATTCTGCCCTATCAGATGGGTCAAGGCAGTTTCTTTATTAGCCAATGACCTTCCTCCATCACATCTCAGTGCTGGGATTTGTGTGGCTTGAGTCTTTGCATGTCTGTGAGCGCTGGCTGTTGTTGTCTCTGTGAGTTCATATGTACAGCGGTCCTGTGTTGTCTGGAAGATTGTTTCCTTGGGTCCATCTCCTACCTCTGAGTCTTACAATCTTTCCACCTTCTTCCGGTGCCTGGGCCCCACCTGCAGAGCAGACATGGCTGTATCTGGGATGAATTCTGAATTTTCTTTTTCTTTCTTTCTTTCTTTTGCAAATATGTTCTTCGGGTAAGTCAGGAATAGAGGCCTTGGGTTGTATGTGCATCTTAAGGAGGTGTATATGTGCAAATGCTTATGTTTTAATGTTTATAATAGATAGGGTTAGGTATACAGCTCAGCAAAAAACCCTTTGTGGTCATCTGGAGTAGAGTTCAAATCAACTGTCCTTACTAATTGTGTAACATTGGAGCATTACTTCATGTGTGACCTCTTCAGCTGTACAATGTAGTCAACTATTCCTGAAAGGATTCTACAAGGTGATGTTTATGAGCTTTCGTGTGACTTTCACACTGGTAGTTCCATCACTGACTAGACAGTGGCGATGGCAACCACGTCCTGCTGCGGTTATGTGTCTGAAGTAGGTGCTATCTCTCTCTGAATGTGACCATGCCAGTTTGAAGGTGAGGACATGCGTCTTTCGTTTCTCGTCTTTCACGTATTCTCTGCTGCCCTGTGGATTCCCTGACGTAAATCCTAACTCCTGGGCAGGCGAGAGGGCTCGGTGGGTAAGCTCACTTACTGCCAAGCCTGATCCCCTGAGTTTTGTCTTTGTAACCCACACGCTGAAAGGAGAGAAGTAACTGAAAATCCTGATCCTTAATTTTTTTCTCTGACTCAAGCCAAGTTCGCCCCTGCTGTCCCTGCTCGTGGATACCCTACTCCAACTTCTCCAAGAACCCTGACTACCAAGGGAGACGGCTCAGGTGAGGCATGAGCACAGGTGAATGTGTTTAGCTCAGATCTCAGTTCACAGAGTTTGGAATGTGACAAATAGCTAAGAAAATCACTCTTCGCACTTGAGATATTGTTTGAGGTGAGTGAGGTGGTAGCCATACATGTTGGTCCCTGGGTTAGGATTCTGTAGAAGTCACAAACTGGTGCGGGAGAATTGTGTATATTTTGTCAATCATGTTTTAAATAAATGCAGGAAGTATAGGCAGGTCAATCAGACAAAAAGTAGAGGCGGGGCGAGAAAAACAGGAGTATTCTGAGAAAAAGGAAGCTCTTCCACGAGTCCTGCCCAGACCCCCAAAGAAGCAGGATGTGATCTGCTCTGCTACAAAAGGTACTGAGCCATGAGGCTAAATAGATAAAAACAATGGGTTAATATAAGCTACAAGAGCTAAGAGGAAGCCTGAGCTAATGGGCCAATCAGTTTATGTCTAATGTAGACTCTGTGATTTTCTTTGGGACTAAATGGTGGGGACCGGGTGAGACAGAAACCCCAACAAGAAGGTCCTCATGCTATGACAAACTAGCCAAGTGACCTGGGTCAAGGACTTTCAGTTCCCTGGGGCTCTGGTTCCTCTTGTTGTTCAGAGACCTCTGGTTTTCCTGACTCAGGAAAAATAACATTTCCCCCATGGAGAACTTAATTTGGATGTCCACTGGTTTTGCTACACAAAAAAGGAGAACCATCTACCATTGCCATCATGTCATTTAAAAAGAGAGTCATTTGGGGCTGTAGAGATGGCTCAATTATTAGAGGGTAAGGTTCACTGCCAACAAGGGCCCCCTCTTACTTAAAGTTTTAATTTTATTTCATTTTAATAAATTAATCTCTCTCTGTGTGTCTCTCTGTCTCTGTCTCTCTCTCTCTCTTTCTCTCTCTGTCTGTCTCTGTGCTCATATGCCATGAATGGCATGTGGAGATAAGAGAGAAACTTAGAGGCACCTGCTCTCTCCTTGCCCTGAATGAGATGAGGGGACTGGACTCAGGTCTCAGGGAAGTGCCATTATATGTGGGGTCATTTTGCAGGCATTTATTTAAAATTTAATTTAAAAAACTTTTAATAAGGAATGATTCTATTTTGGTTAGATATTAAGTAAACTTAGTGTAAAGGATTGTTGTCTTTGTTATTTTCTGATTTACTCTGGGCTGGCACTGTTGCTTATATCGCGGATAAGGGATTGATTAGGAGAAATCAGGGTCCTTTCTAGTTGAACACGGACCATCAGCTTCCTCAGATGTCAGCCACATAAGGAGGAGCTCAGTTCTTTCTAGGGCCAAGGTTGGAAGCTGTCACAGAAGACAAAGGAGACAGAAGAAGCTGATCCCAGGGCACATCGATCAGGAAGGTTAATCTCATCTTATTTCTGGGTAGAGTTCTGCTCTTAAGCTCTTTTTGTTTTTCTGAAATGGGAGAGGAAAATAGATTAAGACCCCTCTCATCATGTAATATAATTCACAAGCTATGACTTGTAAGATTTCAATAAGAAAATGAGACCATAATGGTTAGTCCAGTGTCTGGTCACAGTGTGTTCTCAGGGTACATTAGCGCCTATCACCAATGCTGTTAGTAGGGCCAGAAGGCGGAATGAGAAAATGGTTCCCGTACTGTAGTGAGAGTAAGCTGGGTTCTAAATTCAGTTCCCCTGGCCAGTTCTGATCTCAGTAGTTAGTGCTGCAACAATTTTCTGAAGTTTAGGTTTTGTGTGTCATGAGCAGAGTTCTCTAACATCCTGTTTCTGGGTTGGTGTGTTAGTGCAGCAGGTAAAGCCCCTTGCCACCAAGGCTGTCAACCTGGGTTAGATCCTAGGTCTCCAAATGGTGGAGAAGGATCTCCCAAAGATCTTTCACTGAGCTCCAAATATACACCATAGCATGTCCCATGAGCACACACACACTTACTTGTATGCACACATGCATACATGAACAGTAAGATAAAGAAAACTTCTTTTCTTATTTATTTATTTATTTATTTATTTAATTTTCGAGACAGGGTTTCTCCGTAGCTTTTTGGTTCCTGTCCTGGAACTAGCTCTTGTAGACCAGGCTGGCCTCGAACTCACAGAGATCTGCCTGCCTCTGCCTCCCGAGTGCTGGGATTAATGGCGTGTGCCACTACTGCCCGTCAAGAAAACTCCTGTTCTTTATTTAAAAATGGCAAAATTGTGGTACATACTTACATACATCAGACACATATATTTATATAGAATTATTTTATTTATATTTATGTATTTTTCTTATAACATATTTATATATATAATTAAGATTAGGTCAGGCACGATGGCACATGCCTTTAATTTTAACATTTGGGAGGAAGAGGTAAAAGGATCTTTGCAAATTCCCATGCCAACTTGGTCTATGTAGCAAATTGCAGTACAGCGAGGGTTACATAGAGAGAGACTCTGTCTCAAAAAAAAAAAAGAAAAGAAAAGAAAAAGAAAAAGAAAGGAAGAAATCCAACCGAATAACTATAAAAAAATATTAACAGCGCTAAGAACCATGGCTGGCTCCTCAGTGCCGAGTAGACAGTAACCGTGGCATCTATATACATTATACGTTCATGACCACTTTATTCCTCCTCCCTGATGCCTGTTTCTAGTGCAGTCTTCAGTTCTCCAAGTAAAACAGAAAACAATATTACAGACATCTCTTGTTCTTCTTTATAGCAAAACAAAATGGAGGAGAAAAGTAAAGAGGTCAGAGCTGGAGGTATTGCTGAATTGGCAGAGTCTTTGTCTAGCCATGGAAGCCCTGAGTTTTATCCCCAGTGGGACAGAAATCAAGTATGATAGCACAGGACTGCTATCCCTCCCTCAGGAGGGGAAGGTAGGAGGGTTAGGAGTTCAAGGTCACCTGGCTTTTGAAGGCAACCTGGACTACTTGAGACACAGTCTCAAAAAGGAAGAGAGAGACAGAGAAAGAGACAGAGAGAGAGGGAGAGAGAGAGAGAGACAGAGATAGAGACATATACACAGAGAAAGACAGACACATACACAAGGGGGAGAGAAAGAGAGTGAGAGAGAACAAGTCAGTCTTGCCACTTAGACCAAGGATCGCCCTGATGGGGAAGCAGAAGTGACATTTCCATTTCAAATATTGCCTGTGGTGAAGATTCCTGTTTACTCTGAGGTTCCACCCTGTGGTTTTTCTGCTTTAAGTTGCTTTCAGGTAATGAAAACAAACCTGGAGCGCTTTCCCCGCTAAATGATGTTAGGCTGAGACCGTCTTTGTAATTTTTAAAACACAGTCAGTTAGTTAGGCTCAGATTTGCTAGTCCTAGTTTCTTCTCAGCTTCCTTTAGCACAAAGTCATGTTAAACTTGGTCACAGGCCCTTCCTTGGTCTACTATCATCTGATTTTTTTTGTCCTTGAATCTCTTTATGTACTGCCACGTCTTTGCTCAGCTCCAGGGACTTGACCGCTTACTGAAGTGGAGAGAAATGAAACAATCACAAACACAAAGACATGCACAAAAGCTGGGTTTTTGGATGGTGAAGCCTCAGCACCTGGGAAACTCAGCATGTTTCTTATATAGAGTTGAACAGGGAGGTGGGGCTATTACATATGGCTGAATAAGGAGGCAGGTTTAGCTTGGTAAGTAAACTCTGGAGGGTAGCATCAGGCCAGGAGAAAGAGACAGTGAACATTTTCTGAACATGCTATCAACAATCATACTTGAATCCCTGAGGAAGGCTTTGGAACCCCGAAGGCCCTCCCCACTCCATTCAGGTCTAGGAAGAAGGTGAGCATCCAAACAGACTAGGCTCCCAAAAAGCCAGTACACGCAGTAGAATCAAAACCCAGTGCCATTTTCATTATCTTCTCAGTCAGCCATCATTGTCAGCCACATTCAGAGAGTCCGGTCTGATCACATGCTAGTTCAGTCCTAGACCAGCTGGCCTTAGTTTGCTCTCATTAGATCAGTCACACCATCTCTGTGGGTGGGTGCACCCCTCGTGGTCCTGACTTCCTTGCTCATGTTCTCCCTCCTTCTGCTCTTCATCTGGACCTTGGGAGCTCAGTCCAGTGCTCCAGTGAGGGTCTCTGTCTCTATCTCCATCCATCACCAGATGAAGGTTCTATGGTGATATGCAAGATATTCATCAGCGTGGCTATGGGTTAAGGCCAGTTCAGGCACCCTCTCCTCAGCTGCCCAAGGACCTAGCTGGGGACATCTCCTTGAACACCTGGCAACCCCTCTAAAACCAAGTCTCTTGTTTATTTTTTTCTTTGATCTGGAGTTTAAAAACCATTCTTAACTATTGTCTACTTCCTCCCCTTTGTATATGTGTGTGACAGAGACTCAGACTCTGGGGACACTCCAGGATAAAAGCCAAACAGTAAGTAACTTTGGTGTGTGTGCTCACATTATGATGAGCATAGACTTCCTCCAGGGCACCCCTTGTGTGGGAAAGCTTGTACCTTTCTTGTCTTCACACTCTGTGGCTTTCATGTGTTGACAGGTCTGACCATATAGGCCTGTTATTGACAGAAGTTGGGTGTGAGTGTGAGATTTCTGGCATGTACTAAGTGTGAAAAACCCCCAAGAAGAAAGAAGCGTTTCATCTGTCTTTGCAAATGCCACTGCTACACTGTGAAAAGTCCTTTGCCTTTCTTTTCAGGTTTTTCACTTCGAGCTTGTTGTGGCATTGAGACAAGGTGTCAAGTAGCCCAGGCTGGTCCTAAACTTATTATGTAGCTAAGAACGATAACGAACTCCCCGTCTTCCTACCTCCTCCTCCATAGGGTTGGGGTGCCCTGCTTGTATTTTTCATTTTTTTAAAATTCATTTTTATGTAACAAGACACAACTCAGGAACACCAAGGGGCAAGAATTTATGTCCTGAACTATTATGTCCTGAACTAGACAGGAAAAAAAAAACACTAAAAAGCCAGCTAGCAGTAGCAACTTCAATGAGTGGACGTTGAGTTTCTCAGTGGGTAAAGGCACTTGCCCCACAGCCTGACTACGCGAGTGTGATTCTGAGAACTCATGGTGGAAGGAGAACCCTGAGAGTGGTCCTCTAATCACCATGTACCACGGCATGGATGCACATGTATGCGTGTGCACACCATAATAAATAGGTAAGAATAATAAAATCAGTTCTTTAAGCCATGTCTAGAGGCCTGCATTCATCTAATTCAGTCCCTTATTTGTGTGCTCACAGTCAGTGCCTGGCATCTTGTGTGCTTGTCTCTCTCTCCCCTCTTTGAGATAGAGAGCACCTTTAAGAACTTCTGTTGTCCCAAGTGCTTAACACATAGTACTTGTACATAGGCCTCTTGCTTTTGCAGAAGTCACATGTAGTGATTAAATGGAGGATTTAACCTTTGAGATTTACTGCTTTCATTGTTTATTATTTTATTGTTTTTAAATGTAGTTTTTATTTAGTCTTAGATTATTTTGTACATGAATAAAGTGTATTTCAATAAGATTCACTTCATTCCCCCTCCAACTCCTCCTAGATCCCTCTCATGTCTCCTCCCACGTTCTTGTCTTCTTCTTGTTCATAACCCACTGAGTCTAATTAGTTCCCAAATATACACGAGAGCTTTGGGTCTTTTTTAATGTAGTCTCAATCTGTAGCCCAGGCTGGCCTCAATTTGCTACTTTCCAGCCATAGCCTCCTGAGTTCTGGGATTATGAATGTTCACCGCTTATGGCTGGGTGTCTTATTTTCCTTTACAGTGTCTTTACTATTATTGCCTTTGAAGGTGGGATGTGGACTAACAGTTTAGAAATAGAAGGATGTTCTCTGCGACTCCTTGGTATCAGAAATGAGAGAAATAACAGTAGTGTTTACCACTGACCAAGTGCTCCTAAAGAAACAGGCTCCATGATAATTGTCTCAATTACTCCACAGTGTCACTGAGCTCTTGGGGATGTGGGATTTGAGCTGAGGGAAGACTGTGTGGTTGCAAAGTCCTGGCTCTTGTAAACTTGCTTTTCTGTGTGAGGTTGGTTCCCTGAAATACTTCCAGAACTCCCTCCCTTTGAACACACAATTTTGAGGCAGTAGGATCCATTATCCAGCCTCTGTAGGGATGTAGGCAGGTGGGCTATAGAGTGACTTCTATACTCCCTGCACAGGAAGCAGGGTGCTTTATCTCCTTGTTAACTGCAAACACTGAGCTAGCCCATTTCATTCCTCTGCTAACTGGGTCTAGTCTAGAAAAGGACAGATCAAGGGAGGCTTCATCATTCCTGCAATCCTGAGAGACTATGAAGAAGAGTGGTCCTCTTGAATCGCGAGACTTGCTGAGCATATGATTAGTTTCTGGGCTTCTCAAACTTGACTCCTGTTCTCTGTCCCCCAGCAAATTTCCACATGGACAGATGAAGTGAAGGACTCTGGAAAAACTATCAGAATGGCTGTCTATATCGGAGTAAGAGTCTTTGCTGGGCTGGCCCTGACACTCATCTTTGGTGTTTTATTCCTTAAATGTAAGTTGCTGGATGCTGCTTCTTTTACTTTCTGATAGAGAATGGTTACCATAGGAGCAGTGCAAATCTAGATAGAAATACACTTTTTTAAGCAAACCTGAAGGACACTCACTTGTCCTTCCAGACATTGCCCATAACATAACTGATAACTAGCGATCTCTCAGACTTATACCTATGTGGCAGGTAGACACTGTGCTAAATGTTTTACAGACATCTTAGTCATCAACAGTTATAAACTAGGCTGTACTATTCCTTCCCAGTCTAGGGCAGAGGGAAGTACAGCTTGCTGAGAGCAGCTGAGTTCTCCAAGTTTCACTGTGAGCAAGGTCCAAGTCTAGACCTTCAAGTGCAGCAGACAACCAGAATGGCTATCTTTAGATACACAAGCTAATCTTGTGGTTGATGTGACAGCTTAGTGGGTTAAGGTGCCTGTCACAAGCCTGATGCTCTAAGTTTGATCTGAGAGAGCCACGTGGTAGAAGAAGATAATGATTTTTTTCCCTCAGACTGTCCTCTGGTCTTTTGTGAGTTGAAGCATTTGGGTACCTCTCCTTCTTTTCCCTCTTCCCTCTCCTTCTTTCTCCTCCCCTCCCTTTGTCTCATCTCTTTCATCCCAACCCCTGGTCCTCTCTTCTCTCTGTCTCTCTCTAACTCACTGAAAGAGCTACTTTATTTAAAATATAAATATACCCATGCTTATTAGGAAGCCCAACAATAAACCTCTCTCTGTGTGGGTTTCTATGTTGCTTTCTCAGGTGCCTCTCTTTAACACTGAACCATGCCTGGGCTTCCAGACTGGGGTGTCTCCTCACAGTGCTCAGCACACACAACTATTTGTCTTTATTTAAATAGATGGCTCGGCATCTGGGCATGTAGTGTAGTTGTTAAAGTATTTTTGTAACATGCAGGAAATACAAGAACTCCATAAAAGAAGGTATGGGGGTGTACTGTGAGTTTGAAAGACCCTCCAAGAGTGTCTTTCCTCTGGGGGAGACCCTTCCCAAGGAACAGCGAGACCACTTGTACGGATGCAAACAGCAAGAGGTTTATTCAGATACACAGGTACCTGGGGCGACAAAGTCTCTGGGAGGACTTGTGCGCCTCCAGGTCGGGGTAATGGGTTTATATATGTTTTGGGGAGCAAAAAGCGTGGTACAGAAGCGAGAAGCATAGTTACAGGGTTTTTATTGGTTAGTTTGAGTGTGGCCGAGTTCAGGTCGGGACAAGGTTCCTAGTCCCCAAGAATTCAGATATGGGCTGCCTTGGCTCTTATCTAGGGCAGACAGAGTGTTTTCTCCCCACCTGGGGCAGATGACACCCAGCCACATTCTCGGTATTCCTCGTTCCTCCCCTGGCCCAGCCATAGGTGTCTCTATCTAATTTTGGCAGCTTCTAAACTGCCCTTTGTTCAAACCCTGAATATTCAGTACAAGCCTTGTAAAATGGTGTTACCAGTGCTAAGTTGTTTAACAAGCTGGGCAGGGGGTCTTTCATCTGGTGCTAAGCTGCTTAGCAAGCTGGACGGGGGGTCTTTCAAGTTCTGTAATCACAGAATTTCCTGGAGGTAGTAGTAGGAGGATCAGAAGTACAAGACCATCATCAGCTACACACTGAGTTCCAGGCCAAGGTGGGCTATAGGAGACCCTGTCTCAGCTGTAAAAAGTTTTTTCAGTTTGGTTAGTGTACTTGGAGGCCATTGTCACACTAAAGATTCAAATGTTCCCATAACGCCAAAGCCTTCCACCCTTTCATAATTGTGATATAGTCTCTTTTCTCTGCGAGCAGAGAAGGCATTTCTCCAGAGTGTAGTGCATTTACAACACCCTTTGTGAACGGAGACTGCACTTAGTTTCCCGGCTGCCCAGACCCAAATAATCATACAGAAACTATATTAATTACAACACCGTTTGGTCTATTAACTGTATCATCTTATTAAATAACCCTTACAACTTAATTAGATGGTAGTTGAGTCTAAAGTCACCATTAGAGGTATGTGTGTTTTCTCCTGTCTCTGGAAATATGGTCCATTATTATGTGGTTACATATAATATGCATTAGTACCTACTGTGATCCCACATGGCTTGAGGGCAGAGAACATTGGCAGGACTTGTGTCTCCAGCTGCCTCGAGAGTCCAGGCTCAGCTTATTCTCCAGCAGCTAGTTTACAAACCTAGACATCTTCATTTCCTTCAGTGAATGACAGTTTGCCAATGTCATTCTAGCACATTAGGGATGCTACGTGGGTGAGTGCACCAAGCCATGAATATAGAGAAGACCCTTCCTACGGGCTACAGAAACAAAGCTCCCAAAGTTACCAGGGGAGGGTTCAACTAAAGATAAACATGATACCCTTGATTAGAAAAGAGCATCACAATGGTTTCTGATGATGTGTTCAATTTCCCTTTTAATCTCTCTTGTATTGCCTTGCCCTAATTTAGAGTACTCACATCTGAAAAAGAAGCCAGGATCACTGAGTCAAACTCGCGTCAGTTCCTTTTCTGCTTACAGTCTTGTAGATTTCTTGTTTCTCTTCCTCCTCCTCCTCCTCCTCCTGCTCCTCCTCCTCCTCCTCCTCCTCCCCCTCTTCCTCCTCTTCCTCCTTTTCCTCCCCCTTTTTCTTCCCTCTTTTCTTCTCCCAGGCAGGAACACCTTGCTTGGCTCCCACTGTTCATCTTGGATTGTAAATTATTTTCCGGAGCCCCTCTCTTGTTACCATGTCTTCCAGGGATGTATCAGCATTCTGATTTCCCAACTGTTGCATCTGAACTATTACGGAAGGAGCGCCTTGGCTCTGACAACTTGTAGCAAGCGCTGAATGGTAGATTTTGCTTTCTGGAGCTGGTATTGAAAGTATTGCTTTGATTTTAGCTGATATGTCTCTCATTGGGTACCTGTTGTATTAAAGATGATGAAACAGCTAGAGACACCCTGTGGTAATGCCTTTGCACAGACCCAAGCTCAGTTTCCAGCACCCACAACTGCCTGAAATTCCATTCCATATGGACAGGGATACACCAGCATCTACAGACCATACATATACATACCCATATGTGCATAATTAAAAATAAAAGATATTTAAAAAAATAACTAAAGGGCATACATGTGGTATACATATACACACATTCAGAAAGAACTCTGATATACATAAAATAAATGTAAAGGTATTAAAAATTAATGAATAAAATAAAAAAATCACGGGAGTTAATAGCCAGGTCCTTTTAGATGTTTTCAGGTAAGTACTGGCTGTTTGAGGGATTTGGAGCTTGATAATTCCTGTCGAAGCAGAGGGTGCAAAGGAACGCTGGCAAGCTAGGGCCTCTACTGCTCATACCAAGTTCTTGTCGCTCAGTTATCGTAGTTATCTGCCTTGTAGGTTCTTTAATTGATTGTATTTCTGTAGCTCTTTCAGTCTCTCCTCTGAAAATGCCCTGTACCTTCCTTATGACATGTAGTTATCTGTGTTGATATAAAGCCATTTAATCTGCTTTATTTGGTTCAATTTGCTCTATGCAGGGCCATTTTTATATCAAACCCCTCACCCCTCTGGCTACTGTCTGCTACACCTACTTCTCCTTTGTGTGTCCGAGTTAATCATGTGAGCTGATGTGTTTTCAGTGCTTTCTGGCACATCACAAGTGCCCAGTACACTTGCCTGTTATTGCTTTGATCACATTCTTCCCAGTAATGACTATGTTACAGACCATGCACTATTATTCTACGCATCCTACAGATTGGAAAAGAGGTTCAGAAAGGTGAAAGGGTGCCCCAGGTCACACTTAATGGCCTCAGTCTGAGGAATTCATGCCCAGAATTTCTTTCACTAACTGCTTATTAGACTGGATGGGAGATACTCCTTATAGGAAAACCCCACCACCCCATTTAGCCCCTTGATTTATCATAGTGATAAAGTTCTTTTTTCCTAAAGGTTTATTTTTAATTTTTTTTTAATTTTGACTCAATAGGCTGGCAATCAGTGAGCCTTAGTGATTTTCCTCTCTCTCTCTGTCTCTTTCTCTTTGTGTGTGTCTCTCTCTACACACACACACACACACACACACACACACACACACAACCAAAACAACAAAACAAGCAAACACATCCAATTCACTGATTACTATACTCCGGGCATTTCCTCATGACTTTTTCTGTCCCTTATATCACACTGACTGATCACAGCTTCCTGACCCCACACTGTTTTCGTACCTATGCACGTGTGACGTTTCCAGGCTTTAAGAAGCTTTTCCCAATCTGCTTTGTGATTCTCAGGGCAGGCGTGTCTTCATGTGGCTGACTGGAGACGTTTATTTTGGTTCTCTTTTAGTACTAGAAATGGCACTGTATTCAAATGACATAACCTCATGGGAGTTAGTCTGTTTTCGTCTCTGATTTGCCCCTCTAACATCAGTCCACTGTGCCCACCTTGATGAACATGGACACAGAATGAGCTCTCCAGAGAAGCCCCTCCTACAGCTGATGGAATGGGCCAGCCGCAAACACCCGCAATGCTCTCCCCAAATCCCTTTCAGTCCAGTGTGTGATGTTGGTGTGCATGCAGTGACTATGAATGTGTGTCATACAGTAGTCTTTGAGATTGTGCCACAGACCAGTGGCTACAGTGCAAAGACACCTCTTTGTAGTTTAAATGTTTTTCTACTCTATGCTTATTGTTAGAGGATTAGATACTATGCAGATTTCAAAATTCTTTTTTGATAAAGAAAATTTGTATTATTGTGGGTATGATGTGTGTGTGTGTCATGAAGTGCCGTGGCATCTATGGAGGACAGAGGATAACTTTGTGAAGCTAGTTCTTCCCGTCTACCTTTACAAAGGATCTAGGGATCTAATTCAGGTCACCTGCCACTCCTAACACTTTCTAAAGGGTCACCGTGCAAAACTGTAAATACACTTGTCATCCAGTTCCTAGCCCAGATCCCATGTGTATATCCTGATTAGATAACTAATCATGGCGCTCAATATCTGTCTTTTTAGATCTCCCACTTGTGTGAAGGATGCCAATATGAGCTGATGTTTTTATAAATAGTTCTTGGCTTGTTTGATGTTTATTGAACGATCCTTTCCCTGACTTTATACGGGGGCTCTGTGTGGTGCTGTTGTTCTCTGCGAAAGTTTTCTGAGTATTGATCATAAATGAAAGCTCTGCTCAGACCTGAAAGGTGACCTCTTCTGCCTTCAACACCTCTTTTTCTCTCTCTGTAGCTTGGTAGATCTCATCGTTAAGATCGGAGTTTTGCAAAACACAGTGGTCATGAGGCTCCGAGGTGAAGACAAGGTCTACCTCATGGAAGACAGTCTTCATGTCAAGAACTAAGTCGCAGTTGCTCACTGAGGGTCTTCCTCCTGCGATTGCAGCAGACAACAACTGGATATGACCATGCTGAACATCTTTTGATCTCCAGGGTCATTTTCTGTGTTGGTTCCCATCTGGTGTCCCCACTTTCCACCGTTAGTGGAGAGGATGGACCTCTCGCTGTCTCTGCTCACAACATGCTTAGTCTTGCAAGTCACCGGGGAGCGTTCTCTCAAACATGGACACTTCATAATTTAATGTTTCCTTTAGACCTCATAATTCTTGTGCCCTTGAAAAACAATCATTGGTAATTCAGGAAATGGGTTTCTATCTTAGTTACCAAAACCATCTGTAAAAGATGAATAGGATTATAAAATTAAAGTGGGGAGTACTTAATTTAGAAGTACTCTGATTATGTCTTGTCTATTTTATTGTAACTCAAAATGCCACTTTCCTTACCTTCCCTGAGGGACTCAAATCTTGGGAAATTGAGGTTTTAATTTTTGTCAAAGATAAGTAGATGGGAGTTGAGTCTAATGTCACCATTAGAGGCATGTATGTTTTCTCCTGTCTTTGGAAATATGGTTCATTATTATGTGGTTACATATAATATGCATTAATACCTCATATGGCTATAATTCTGGAACTCAGGAACAGGAGAACTGAAGGGGTGAGGTCAGACTGAGCTACATAAGCAATTTTGAGGCCATTCTGAGCATTGATACATTTTCTCAAAAAACAAACATGTCAGGGTTAGAGGTTCACACCAGTAATCCTAGCCTTCAGGAAACTGAGGCAGGAGGATGGCCATGATTCCCATCCTTCCCTGGGTTGCATAATAAGTTTAGGTCAGGCTGGGATACAGAGAATTGCAGGGCTTCTGGGCTAGCTGGTTGGAGTCAGACTCTGTGAGGTTGCCTTGCTCTCAGTTCCCATGCACTGTGTCCTGAATAGTCCTGTTCAGAGCCACCATGATGGGGAGAATTGTGGATCAGTTCTGTGAACACGGAGTGACAGGGCTAAGGGAAGCTGACAGTCAGGAAAATGGGCATTGTTTTTTTTTTTTAAAGATATATTTATTTATTTATTTATTTATTAAGTATACAACATTCTGTCTCCATGTATGCCTGCACGCCAGAGGAGGGCGCAAGATCTCAGTACAGATGGTTGTCAGCCACCATGTGGTTGCTGGGAATCGAACTCAGGACCTCTGGAAGAGCAGCCAGTGCTCTTAACCACTGAGCTATCTCTCCAGCCCGAAAATGGGCATTGTTGCCTGGAAAAATGGCCTACCTCTCTGGGATTTGAGCAAGTGGTCTGCTCTCTGGTCAAAAAGGAGCCTCTTAATCAATCTCTGTCTGTGTGGTTCCCTTTATGTATCTCTGTCTCTGTCAACATAGTGAACAAACACACTTGGCAAATAAGAAGCTGTACATTTCAAACGACTTGGAGGTTATTTTACAGTTTAACATTAATTACTTTATAATACATTTATATGAAAGAGCTATATAGGGAAGCAGTGAAGCCATCAAAGATCTGTGTGGAATTGTGATTCTCTTTCCCACCTCTTCCATTCCCATACTTCCCACTCCTAGAGCCCCAAATCAAAGCCTCTGGACACTTTGTTGTTACTGGAAATACACCCACCCCGAGGAGCCTTTCTGCATGCATGGATCTGCACTTGATTTTCTCAGTAGCGTGTGACTTCTGGCATTCTGTACCCAGATGATTACTCAGGCTCGTGGCTTATATCACGAATGCATCATATTTATTACCTACTTTCTGACTGTAAACATTTAACATGTTGCCAAACATGTGCTGTTACAACCATCCTTGCCATGACCATCCCTATATCTCCCTCCTGCCATCTGTGACATACTGATGTTACCACTGCTCAGCTGTGAGCTGAGCTTGCACACAAAACTCTTCAGTAAAAAGTAAAAGGAACTGGGCAGCTCTGGGAAGACTGTTTCCTACATGATTGTTCTATAATAGATTTCTACATCAGCACCTCTGCTGGGCTGCAGCAATTTGGTTAAGGTAAAGTTCACCATAGACTTTAGCCAAATTCTCCTGACCTGCTGTTGGCTGAGCTGTGGTGGAAGGAAGGCTGAGGATGAGGGGCTTCAAGGACTGTCTGCTCCAGGCCTCAGGGAATTCTCTGCAGTTTTCACTATTCTTTCTAATGATGACATCAACCATCCTCCTCAGGCTAAGCATTTCCAATACACAAGCAGCAGCCTCACCAGCCTGGAAGCTCAGGTAAAAACTCTGAATCTGACATCCACACCCTTCTAACTGCTTCTTTCCAGTCAGGCCGTCACAAGGAGTCTCTGGGCAGGGCAGCCTGCTAGAAGCTAGCTGCGGTATTCCGGGAAGATATGGATCTCCTTGGATTGTTAATTTCCTTGTTGCTGTTGTTCAGCTCTTTATCCTGAAATAATCTGGATCTGCAGCAGAACTGCGAGTGTCCCTAAACACGAGTTTCCTCGAATGCTAGTACCGTACACACCATGGAGCCTTGATCAAAATGAAGAACCCTGCATGTTTATCCTCTCTGCCTGCCAGGCCCACCGATCCTTGCTCCTTCCTTGCTACTGGCCGTTCAGCTCTTTATTAGGACCATCAGGTGTTTTAGACAGGCAAAGTAACACAGCTTCACAGGGTTAAACAAATGCAGCATAAACAAAAGCAACACACCTTCAAATAATATTCTACAGCAGCAGCCCATCACATGCAAAACACGATGGCAGTTGAGTGAGCCAGCTGACGGCATAGCGTGTAGAGACAGGGCATAGAAAGGATGGATGCTGCTACTCAGTTTGCTTTGTACTGACAAAAGGCTCCAGCCTGTGGGCAGCTGCCACTCATCTGTTTGCATTTGTTATTTATTTGTTTGTTGGTTGGTTTAATGTTTGAAATCCGTACCATGGGTTTGGAGATCTGCCTTCCCACTTAAGAGTAGTTATCTCTCCTTTAGAGGAAATGATTTGTTCTCCCAGCATCTATATTAGGTAGCTCAAAATGTCCTGTAAATCCAACCTCAAGGAAACAAATGCCTTCTTATGGCCTCCAAAGGAATTCACATATGTGGCATACACACACACTCACACACACACAAATATGTATTTAAATTTTTTTACAAAAATGTATAAATCTGCATTTAAGCTGTATTAGTACATTAGTGAGTCTTCTCAAATATTCAAACGATCTGTTAACATAGAGCTTCAGGGTTGGAGGGATGGTTCAGTGGTGGAGAGCCCTAGGTTCAGGTCCTAGCATCCTCATGACATCTTTAAACTGTTTGTACCTCCAGTTCCAGATAATCCAAGATCAGCGTCTGATATCTGTGAGCTCATCCAAGCTTGTGGCATACATGCATGCACTAACACATACACACAATCAAATAACTTTTTTCAGAAATATAGAAAAGAGAATAGAGCTTCAAACGAAACGTTTTCTCCTGCCCTGTTACTCCACAAATGCTTTGAAGAATCTGGTGGGATTTTTCCCATGGCATTTAAACATACCAACACATGTATGCAAATGTGTTACATTGGGCTGTGATGATTTTACAAAAATGGGCTCCTGTGAAATAGGTAATTAGTTTTTCACTTACATTTCTTGAAAATATTTTGTCATATAGTCCTAATAAAATGCTGATAGTCTTCATAAATACACATTGTTATTAATCAGATTGGCCTTATTTAAAGACTCCATCCAAGACGATTTGACACAATCCAGCATAAACTTCATTTGGGCTTGGGCTGTTCAGTTTAGGGCTCAGGAGCTGTGGGAGGTCGTGGGGTCTAGACAGCATTATATATAACACATTAAAGTATTCTAGTCTCAACATGGAATAGCTAGATAAATCATTAAGAAGTGTTCACACTTCTTCCACCTTAAGTGTGATTTTCCGTTTGTTACACATCAAGAGACCTGATTGAAGCATTGTGTAGGCCCCTATGATACGGCATGCTATTAGTGACTACTTCCGAGATAAGGGTTATTTTGTAATGAGCTCCCCAGGACAGTAACTGGACTAGAGATTTGCTGTTACAGACAACAGATGTGAACTGGAGACAGAAAGGTATGAGGCTGCTTTTTCAAGGCATCAGAGAGAAGTGTCCTAAGAAAGGGAAAAGCCATGGAAGGGATGCCTTGACCAAGAGACATCCCAAAAGCAGAGGAGGGAAAGTCAGTGTGGCTGACACATAATACATGTTATAATCCAGGCTGTGGCTGTAACTCAGTTTTAGGGGACTTTACAGGCATGCATGAAACCCTCCGTTAGATCCTCAGCTCAGCAGAAACTGGGGGAGGCAGCACACACCTGTGATCCAGCGGCAGTGGAGGAAGAGGGATCAGTTCACAATCATCTTTCACTACAAGGGAATCTCAGGCCAGCCTGTCTTACATAGTGAGACCCTGTTCAAAAACAAAAACAAACAAACCAAAAAACAAAAACCAAGAAACAAAACCAAACCAAAGAAAAAAACAATAAAAAACCCCCCACAAAAAAAACAACACCCAACTTAAAACCTAAATGATTGTCCTAAATTCGTTTAGTAAAGCCTGATGTTATTGAGTCCCTGAGACCCATCTGTCTCCCCCAAATGGCTGTAGGGGCAGCATCTTACACCCACGCAGATGGTGATGGGCCAGAAGTTATAGCTCCAAACAGATCTGTGGCCTTGTCCTCAGTGTCTTAAGAAGACCATTCACAGTTGGTTGGTTGTTAGTTTATTACTTATTTGGTTTTTAGGAGTGAAGACACCCTCAGAATTCATAATTGTTGTTAGAAACACTTGCTTTAACAACATATTATCCTCTCGTTGCAGAAGGGGAAGTAGTCGTACACAGTGGGCCGGATGTATTCTTTCATTTGTTCCATTCTAACTTAAGCTACGGCAACCAATTTTTACGGAGCTGTTAATTAAATGGCATCCAGGGGGTAGAATAAGAGCCCGGTGTTCCTGTGCTCTTGCTCCAGGGACTCCTGTTCCCTACAGTTCAGTCTTCTTCCCAGAGTGTGGTTTATTCACTGTAAATCGAGAGGGTTGGTCCAGGTGCTAAAGTCTCTTCATTCTCCAGTCTTCTCAAAAGCAGCATGGTCACACCTCAGGTGAAGATCTTTGCTGCAGCTTGGGAACAAGCCCAGGGGCACAGGGCACATTAGCGAAGCTCCTGCTCACTGGCGTTCTCCTACGGTCTGTCCATGTCGGTGAGTAGATGCTATCTAGGAGGTGGATTAGAGAACTGAGGAGACTCAGTTTTCAGACAGAACAGGTGAAAGCGTGGCTGGGAGATAAGGATGGACTTATAAGAGAGGTTCCTCTTTATCCGCAAATAGTTCTGGAAGCATCCATCAGCAGCAGAGGATGAGAAGGAGAAGCTGCAACATGAAGTTTCCACTCTCTTAAGTACCAGGTAAGCAGGGGCTTCTACAGACTCACGTTAGAGAGACACAATCAGCGTAGTGCTCTGTGCAGTTTTTGGTCCATATGGAGTTACATAGGGGATGCTGTGGGATTGTGGGTGGTACGTTAGGACAATGGGGAGTGAGCCTCTAAACATTAGGGAAACTTAGCCTCCAATAGAGTTCTTTGGCATCTTCGAAGATAAAGCCTCATTTAAATGGACTTGGAAGATAAAGCGTCATTTAAAAGGATTTCCATAGATGAGCTATTAAAGCCTTCTTAAGCAGCGTTAACATGATAAATGAGGAAAAGGAGCTGTAAAAAAGAGTTTGCTACTCTTGGATTGAGCCCTAATTATTGAGGCCAGTGTCTATAAGTAACATGTAAAATTGCATAATAATAGGCAAATGAGACCAGGGAGAAGAGGGCATACATATATTTGCTACGATGTTCACTGAACGTTTTTTGTTTGTGAATTAGGAAATTGTGTAAGAAATAGCTGTATGCAGTGTGAAGACCTTCAGTTGACTGTAGATTCTTGAGGTTTTGGGATACAGGGTGAAGAAGCCAAGGGCAGGAGGAACTGAAGTTTGCTTTAGTTGGAATGTTGGACATGGGAAGGAGGTGGTCAGTCCAGGAAGATGAGCAGCTTTTAGAAAGTCCATTGAAGCTGGACAGCCCAGGGTAACATCCCACCATACTCTGTCCAAACCTGCCACAAAAGCTCGCTTAGCTTGCTCTATGTTGTAGTAATTAGGGCGGCGGGGCTGCATTCCCGGCACCCCAGCCACCTGCTCGGCTAGCTTACGCCCCGAAATAATTACACGGACACTGTATTCTTTTAATCACTGCTTGGCCCTTTAGCTCTAGCACTCACAGGCTAATTCTCACATCCCGATCAACCCATCTCTAATAATCTGTGAGAACCGGTCTTACCGGGAAGATTCTAGCCTAGTCCATCCTGGGTTGGAGCTTCATGCCGTGTGTCTGCCCGGGAGCGGGGCATGGCTCATCCCAGGAGCGGGGCATGGCGTCTCTCTGAGGAGTCTGCTCCCGAGACCAGAGCTGTGGAGTCTGACCTCACTTCCTCTTCCTCCCAGCGTTCTGTTCTGTTTACTCCTCCCACCTATCCTCTAACCAATAAAATGGGCCAGGGCAGTGCCTTTATTAGCCAATGACCTTCCTCCATCACTATGTTTTTTTTTTTTTTGATTCAGAGAATCAAAGGTGTTTTGACTCACTGATAGAGTGTAGGTTCATAGAATCATGTATTTTGTTGGCGACAGTAAACAGATATATGAAATAAGTAAAATCTTAGTGTTATGTTAGTATTTACTGTAGAAAATCAGATACCTTCTAATTTTATAAATATATGATTTTAAAGTTGTTATAAGCATATTACTATTTTTCAGATGTATATTTGCTGTTTTAAGTTTGTACATCTGTGTGTGTCTATGTGTGGTGATGTTGTATTAGGGCAACAGAATCTAAAGAATGTTTGGGTCTTCTGCATCTCCAGGGATAGTGGCTGTGAGCATCCCAACATGGGTTCTGGAACCTCTCTCAGCTTTTCTGTTAGAGCAGTGGGCACTCTTAACCAGGATCCATTGTGGCAGCCTAATATTAATGTTTTAATATTAACATGAGAGTAATATTCATTCATTCCCCCTCAGCCCAGTCTGGTAGTGCTTATGGCGAAACTAAAAGGAAAAACTCCAAAACCCTTGTCTTCGGCCTGCGTGAGACAATGTGTTTAGAAAGGCTTAGGGACCAACCTCTCAGGGTTAAGTGGGAACAGTCCTGAGTCCACGAGAGGGCAAGGGCACCACCCTTAGAAGGCTGGTTCTTGCTTAGGGTTCTACCAAGGGAACACCCTCATTTCTACCTTCAAATTTCTGTTTGCCTTCTTATTTGTGCCAAGACCAGGAGTTAGATTGATGTCTGTATGTGGGGAAGGACTGGGAAGAAGAGGCTGATTGGGAGGACAGTTAGTTTTCCTTGTCCATGGGAAGGCACAGAGCCCTAGCTGAAGTCTTTGATTGTGGGTTCTTCTCATTGTCGGCAGAGTAGATCCACATAAATCACCCCACCAGGATGTGATGATAAGCTGCCCTCTGAGAATTAAGACCTGCCCAAATTCCATGAGGCGAGGGTCCAAGCCAACCAGAGTGTCATGTGGTTGTCGACTTCATGATGCATCCTCAAGTCCTCGTTTCAGGCCTCTTACTCCTTCTCCCAGGTAAGTGAGAGGGATGGCTAGGAGGATAGGGGTTTGGAAAAAAAAAAAACAGGTCCCTGGGATCTGTATTACAGCAGGGAACCAAAATGAAATTGTAGCTCCATAGAGATTTCTTAACCTATCTCAATTAAAAAAATAATATCTGCAAGACTATCAGGTAAGTGATGAATATATGTACATGCAGTCTACATTCAAGTAAGGGTGAGGACATGTACTTGCATGTTTTAGTCAATGCATGAGGGCTGAAGAAAGGATATGAATGAATAGGCAACCTAACCTTCATTTGGCCTGTATGCTGTCAAAAACCCCTCTTTCTCAATTATTTAATTACAAATAGTAACCGAACACATTCTGTGATATTGGGGAAAACAGTGAATTGCATATTACATTATCTGGGACAGGATCCATGATAGCCTTGGCTGCCCCAGACATAACAGACAGCAGAGAATGACCTCAAACCTCTGATCCTCCTGTCCCTACCTCCCAAGAGCTGAGATTAGAGGTGTGAGCCCTTACACCTGATACACGTTCTAACTTTACAATCTAACCTCTGGGAAGTGCGATTGTGGAAGGTCATTAATTCTTTTCATAATTTCTATAATTTTATTATAATATGTGTTATGTTTGTGATCCTAAAACTTATAAGGCAAAATGAGGGAATGAGTGTCCCAGTGGGAAATGCACTCTCGTTGCACACTTGTTTTATAGAATAAGAAGTGTGCTTTCTCAGACCATGTCCCAAACTCATGACCTGAGCCTGAATATAGGTGACTATTTAGTGAATCTCACAGTCCGCTGTTATCCTGTGCTGGGAACCAACCCAGAGGCTGGCATGAGTGAGGTGAGCATGGTTCTCTGAGCTGCATCTTCAGCCCTCAGAGCTCCCTGACTTGGAAACAATTGGTAATAGGAATTTCAATCCACGATCTCAAAAGATTCATATTAAAATTACTACTTTAGGTTTAAAAGTTGCATGGTTTAGTTTTTGAGTTAATATTCTGAGTTTGTGGTCTCACTTTATAATTGAGTATTATTCAGTTCCTGGAATGGTACCAACATGTAAGCAGGGACCCTTGCTCTGTTTGTTTGTTTGTTTGTTTGTTTGTTTTCCGGGGGAACTAATCCTAAAGCCTCAGTCCTCCAGATGGTATTAGAAGGCCCATTCTGAGTTTGCCCTGGTGGTGCACATCCTTAATCCCAGCACTGGGAAGGTAGAGGCAGGCAGATCTCCATGAATTCAGGCAGCCAGTTCTATTACAGAGTTCTAAATACCGAGGCTAGCCAAGGTTACATAGAGAGACTGTGTCCCAAAAAGGCAGTGAAACCATATGAACAAACAAAAGCCATTCTGAAAACTGATGTTGAAGTTTGTAAAATTCTGCCTTTAAATCAGTGATGCTGTAAACAAAACTGGACCCTACTCTTTGTATAGGAGAGGTGGGTGAAGTTAATGGTTTCATTTTCAATAGCACTGAGGGGGGTTAGAGATGGTTTGAAACTGAGTCTCATAAGCCCAGGTTGGTCTTGAACTCATTAGTTTCCTGACTTTACCTTCAAATTCCGGTTTGGCAGGAACACATACTTCATCATGTACAATGTCTGGAAGAACAATTTTAAAAGTTTAGGAATTAGAGCTAATGTCAAGTGGTACACACGTGTAGTCCCAGTTCTCAGGAGTCTGAGGCAAGAGGATAGTGAGTATGAGGCAGCCTGGGCTACACAGCAACACTCTGTCTAAAAACAAACCAAGAGGTCAGGCATGGTGGTGCATGCCTTTAATCTTGGCAGTCAGAAGGCAGAGTTAGCTGGATCTGTATGGGTTTCTAGGCCTGTGAGAACTACCTAGTGAGCTCTGTCGCAAAAAGAAAAAAAGAATAAAAGATAGAATGAAATGAAGGAAGGAGAGAAAGCGAAATAAATGAATAAATGCAAAAATTTAAAAGATACAGTGTGAATATAATACAGTGCAGTAAGTTGTTTTTCCCACACACATGCTGAAGAATAAGCTAACAGAGAACTGTTTCCAGTGAAAATGTTAAGCTATGAAAACGCTACAGACAAACATGCAAAGGAAGGCTGAGGCTGGAGATAGAACACTTACCTTCCATGCCCCAGGTTTAGCCACAGTTGAGCCAAAAGGAAAACTGGGAATGAAATGAAGAAATAGAATCCATTGTAGGAAACTGTTGAGTGCTCATTCTCCAATTTCACCTTCTTATCACAGTGGCTGTGGATTCTTTCCCAGAAGTCCCTGGAGTGGTGGGCAACCCTGTGACACTGCCATGTTCTTATCCAGTGTCTGATGGGATCTCCTCCATGTGTTGGGGCCGAGGGGAATGTGGGGATACATGCGGACAGACACTCATCTTGACCGATGGACACAGAGTCTACTATCGGACAGACCGTCGCTACCAGCTGAAGGGGCAGCTTCTTCAAGGAGATGTGTCCTTGACCATAGAGAATGCCACTGAGAGGGACAGTGGGCTCTACTGTTGTCGAGTGGAGAAGAAGGGATGGAATGGCATACAGAGACTGACGGCCTCACTAAAAGTTCAGCCGGGTGAGTGTGCCTTGCTGCTTTATATATGTCCTATACGTGAACCTGCCAGGGAACCGAGCCTTCTGTTTACTTGAGATTTGTTCTTTTTCTAGAACAAGGAAATGGAGGTTCTTATAACCATGCTTGCGATTAAAACACTTGCTTTTTATTATTTTTTTAATGACATAATCTCATGTATCTCAGGCTGTTCTTTGATGGCGATGCCCTCCTGTATTTCCAGCCTATAGTACTTTAGTCCTGATAATTCGGTTGTATACCACCTACTTGTTTATTTATTTGTAAGGGCTAAGATCAGCCTAATGCAAGATCATGGGCTAAGTCAGGATCCAGGTCATAACTATACGTGGGACCATCTTGTTGGTCCAGGAAACTGCATCTGCTCTCCATCCTGAAACTCAGTGGGGAGCTTTATCTAAGCTGAAGTGACCTGAACGAAAGGCTGTCCTCTGCCTCGGAGTCAATGTCTTGTAGCTTTAAGTCACTGTCCTCTACACTGTAAAAGCCCAGCAGCTCTGACCTGAAAAGCAGGCCACGCAGGGAGCTGCTGCACTGATGAGCTGGCTTCCACAAGGATCAGCTGACCTTGCTGAGCACGGGCCACATGCATAGGAGGACCAGAGTTCCACTCCAGGTCTGCCCTGCCTTGGGCTTTAAAAGAGTCCTCCCATCTTGTCACAAAATTATCCTTTTGTATAAGAACATGGCCATGAGGGAAAATGTTTTTCTCCCAGCGCCTGTCCAGGGGGGACCAGTGGGAAGTTCAGGAAAACCCCAATTCTTAAATCATCACACTTTTCTCTGTGATGCACCATCATTTTCATAGTAAGAGCAGAACCACGAGGATGCAGCTTCTTCTGCTGATATCCCCTAATCTCTGTTGCTAAGGGCTCACATTGACAATTGACAGCAATTCTAGCTTGTCTCTTCTTTTAACAGCCAGCACATCCACATCGTTTGTCATTGTTCAGCCTTGGCCGTTTGTGCCTTCTTATTGATCTCTTTAGTTTTGACACGGAACCTCACTGCATGGTGTGGACAGTCAGGATCTCTCAAGTAGACCAGACTATCCTTGAATTCACAGATCCAACTGCCTCTGTCTTTTGACGGATGGGCTCAAAAGCCTTTTACAGTGCCCAGCTGCTTAAAATTATTGACAGTGTGCTGGTATCGAGTGTAGAAACCATTTCACACGTCAGTGTTGACAAGTCCTCTGTCTGGCTAGTTAAGGGGTTCAAAAGTGACTCTGTTTCATCCTTAACTATGACTTTTTATGATTTCCTGTGTATTTTAACACACCAAGCTTCCTCTTCCCATGCCTTTGGACCCTCATTAGCTCCTTTGAATGTTCCCATCTACCTGGGAGGACAATTGCCCCAGAACAAAGCTCCCAAACTGGTGGCTTCTTTCCTAGTTGTTCTCATAGGGGTCTTATGACTAGAATGTTCCCATGCTTACATTTCTCTATGAGAGATTCATTCCGTCTAGGGAAGGTTTGCATTGTGCTTAAGCCTCTGCCCACACAGTAGACTCAATCACAGTCTAATAATTTGAATCGAATAGTGTGAACAGTTTGAATCAAATAGTGTGAACAGTTTGATTGAGCAGTGTGAACAGCTTGAATCAAATAGTGCGAACAGTTTGAATCGAATAGTGCGAACAGTTTGAATCAGATAGTGTGAACAGTTTGAATCAAATAGTGTGAATAGTTTGGATTGAATAGTGTGAACAGTTTGAATCGAATAGTGTGAACAATTGGAATCAAATAGTGTTAACAGTTTGATCGAGCAGTGTGAACAGCTTGAATTGAATAGTGCGAACAGTTTGAATCAGATAGTGTGAACAGTTTGAATCGGATAGTGTGAACAGTTTGAATCAAATAGTGTGAATAGTTTGGATTGAATAGTGTGAACAGTTTCAATCAAATAGTGTGAACAGTTGGAATTGAATAGTGTGAACCGTTTGAATTGAATACTATGAACAGTTTGAATTGAATAATGTGAACAGTTTTTTTCTAACACAGCCACACCCACTCCTTGCTATGTTATCAGCAGTGATTTTCAATGTGATTGACATAAATACATTCTCCTGAACACCTATGTTTTGGTTCCTGAGTCCAGGACACATAACTATCTAGCCCTCTGTAGGAAAGGGGCTTGAGGACCAGTGAAATGGCTCAGTGGGTGGCTTAGTTATGTTTTCTATTGCTGAGACACCATGACCATGGCAACTCTTACAAAGGAAAAACTTTCAGTTGGGTTGGCTACAGTTTCAGAGGTTCAGTCCATTATCCTCACAGTGTGACATGGTGGCATGCAGGCAGGCATGGTGCTGGAGAAGGAGCTGAGAGTCCTACATCTTGACCCACAGGAAACAGGGAGTGAACAGTCTCACCGGGTATAGTTTGATCACAGGAGACCTGAAAGCCTGCCTCCATATTAACACACTTCCTCCAGCAATACCATACCTACTCCAACAAAGAAACACATCCTAATAGTGCCACTCCTTTTGGGGACATTTTCTTTCAAACAACAAGAGTGGGTTAAAGTGCCTATGGGCAAGCTTGATTACTGGAATTCAGTTATTGCAGCCTATTTGGGAGAAGGTGAGAACCAACTCTCTCAAACTGTTGTCTGACCTTAACTCGTTGGCCATGAAAAATTACGTGCGCGCGCATACACACACAATCACACACACACACACACACACACACACACAAACACACACACACACACAAACACACACACACACCAGAGAGAGAGAGAGACAGAGAGAGAGAGACAGAGACAGAAACAGAGAGACAGAGACAACAGAAATAAATGAAGAAATACAATTTTTAAATTTTAACCGTGGGCTGGACTCTACTTTTTCTAGTTTCCTGCCTCTAACAGGTAAATTCATTTCTTTTCCTTCTTTGGAGGTAAAACCTGGCTCGATTCAAATGCCACCACTTCTACTGCAGAGAAGAGTGTTCAGAGCAGTTGTTCCCAGTTTGCAGGGTTTATTTTGTAGTCAGAAGAGTTAGCATCACTAAGAGCTGCTTGTGTGGAAGCCGTCAGCTGACATCAGCACTATGTGCTTCTTCTGGACTTAATCATGGGCTCTTTCCTCCAGGCACATTTCCCCTCAACTCCAGCCTTGACATTCTTGCACTCCCTGAGCATCAGTGAGCTGCTTGGATTCCTGCAGCACTTCTGATTCTTTTCCTAATTTGTGAATTGCAGGTTGTCCCAATATGAGGTCTGCAGTGCTTCAATATCTAAAACCTCTTGGACAAGGCCTTGGTAATATAACTGAAAATTTCATTGCCATAAAGTATTCATACATAGAATTATCAATAGTTTATAAATCTCCCTATAAGCTATGTATATAAAGTGTATGCAATGAATGCTACATCTATTCATATTTAGACATGAGCCCCATATGTGAGCTATACGTAAGCTGTTACAAAATTTTCAGAATTGCCAAAATTCTGAAACTGTTGACACCAAAATTTTTTTGATAAGGAATATTCACCCTGTTTCTCTTAGCCTGGAAGAATCTAGAGTTGATTGTGTCTCTTCCCAATACAAATATGCACATAATTTAGTGTTGGGCCTTGCATGGGACCTCTTGCGGGCCAACTAGCCTAGTTAGCCTTGTGATGCAGCACTGTGTATGTCCTCTCTAGACTAGAACATGCTCAGAGTGCAGTCAGTGGGTGAAGTCAGTCGCCCTGGAGAGGAACACACTCAGTCCCAGTTCCCAACACCCTCTCAGTGTCACAGAGATGCTGAGAGAAATGTGAACATCTGACCTATCACTTAGAACATGTTTCAGTAGGGATGCGGGCCCCATTCTCATCTCAAGGTTGTCAGTGCAGCTGCCTCCTATTGATGAGCTGTCTCCACAGCCCCGTCCTGGTGGCCTAGGTGGCCAATGACAAAGAGCAGAAGTTCAGGAGAGGAGCATCTGCCTGGAGACAGCCTCTACCTGATATGTGAGGGAGGGGTGTGTCTAAGGCTCTTCTTTCTCTTGCTTGGCTGACCTTTGCTTTTATATTGATTTCTAGATCCAGGAGTTCCAACAAGTTCTTCAAGAAGAGTTACAATTACAAGTGCATTCAAACCTATCAATGGACCCAGAACTACTTCAAGGCACACCAGAACTACACACTGGAAACTCATCTCTACTTCAAGGAAACCAGGAACAACTAAAATACCCAGAGCTACCACAAGGAGACTCTCAACCACTCCTAAACGCATAACTACTAGAAGGAGACCCTCAACCACTCCAAAGCTTACAACGACTCCAAGGAGACCCTCACCTACCACAAAATACACAACTACTACAAGGAGACCCTCAACTACGATAACACGCACAACTCCTACAAGAAGACCCTTAACTATCAGAAAATCCACAACTACTACAAACAGACCCTCAGCTACAACAAAACCCACAACTATTACAAGGAAATCCTCAACTACCACAAACCCCACAACTACTACAAGGAAATCCTCAGCTACCACAAACCCCACTACTATTCCAAAAAGACCCTCAACTACTACAAAATACACTAGGACTACAAGGAGACCTTCAGTTACCACAAAACCAACAACTACTACAAGAAGACCATCAACAACCATAGAACACCTGATTACTCCAAGAAAACCCACACCTCTTATAAAAACCACCTCTAATCCAAGTAGGCCACCAACAATCATAAATCCCAAAACTACTTCAAGAAGACTTACACCTCCTATAAAATCCACAACTACCCCACAACAACCAACATCTATGACAAAACACACAACTATTCCAAAGAGACTCTCAACTATGACAAAATCTACAGCTGCTCCACAGAGATCAGCAACTACCACAAAACCCACAATTACTACAAAAAGATTCTCAATTACCACAAAACCCACAATTACTACAAGGAGACTATCAACTACAACAAAACCCACAACCACTACAAGGAAACCATCAACTACCACAAAACCCACAATTACTACAAGGAGAAC